TAATAATAATAATAATAATAATAATAATAATAATAATAATAATAATAATATATGAAATACTAATGCTCTGATGGTCATTTCAAAAAATCCTTTCTTAGTGAGCACTTAGAAGCCAAATTTCAAGTTTGTAGGCTTTACAGTTCTGGAGTTTTTCTGATGATACGTGAGTGATTATTTTGCTTTTATATAGACAGATAATAACTTTTGGAAGGCAATCACTATTTTTATCTATGATCCTAAACTTGGTTACTAATTTAACTCATTTTATGGTTAACATGATACATTGGATTATAAAATAATCAATCCGTTCCCACAAAGTTTTTAAATCCTGAGATTAAAACAATCCTAGGTTAGCATGGTGTACAAATGAAGCCCCCGGACCTGGTTAAGCTTGTTGGATTTCAGCAGCCAATGTACAAGCTGAACTTCTTGTGCTACAGGTTGTGTATGAAAAATTCCACGAGCTGGGCTAGACAATGGAGTAGTTGACAGGATATGTAGAGCTCAGTGTTTTTCCTATGAATTAGCTCGCAAAATTTTTGCTCTATGAATCAACCGAAGGACTAAACCTCTGCAGTGTGCAGATTCTCCAGAAGGTGGAGACAAAGATATAGTAATTTGGTTTGAATTTTTCGAAATGTTGTTTGCTACTTTAATTTCCTGCTTCAAAATGATTTTTTAGAAAGATTTCTAAAAGTTGAATTCCCTTTTCAACCTGTCATCTTTTGACTGAATATTATCAAAGGCTGTGTGTATGTTAATGCAGTACATTAACAGCTACCTTTAACTAAAAAGCATGTACAATTCTTTCTATAAAATTAATGGGCTTGTAGAAAAGTACCCTGTTTCTCCAACAATACGACCTCCCCCAATAGGAAGACCCAGCATGTTTTATAGGCATGAAATGAAATTAAGCCCCTCCCCCCAAATTAAGGCCTATATTAAAACATGCGAAATGGGGGGGAATGATGGGGGGGGCTTGCTGTTAGGAAGTACTTTTGTTGCACAGCCGGATATGGTGCTGCCTGTGTTGACCCCGATACGAAGTGCCCCACCAACGGTGAGATCAACATCCAAGCTGTCGCTGCCCGCCCGCCCGAAGATGCAGGGGGGGGAATTAAGTCACCCCCGAAAAGACAACCTAGCCATTTTTTCAGGGCTCAAAAAAAATAAGACCCGGCCTTATTATATGAGAAACACGGTACTTAGAAGTCTAAAATTTCTATTTGAAGAACAAATTTTATACAAAAGTTAATCTCATATAGGAACCATGTTCGGACTATTATTTTGCTCATAGGTTTACAGCACAATACTTCTTTTCTGGTTTTGTTTCTCTATTTTCCTTTTAAAATGTTCAGGAAAAATAATACTTTTTAAAAAATTATGGTTTAGATTTAGATGTGCCTAATGCTGGTTTGGTTGATATTTTGGAGTTGATATGTTGTGTGAACCCAATCAATAGTTATTGTTTATTCAGGGAACCATGGTTAAATGTAACATAGTATAATATAATGCATGAATTTATTTATTGAGTGAAAACAATAGTCATGAAATTGGATCTATACAAGACAAGTTAAACTTCAGATCTACTTTATTGCTGAACTAAAAAAAATCACTAACAAAATATGAAGTAACAGAGCATGTTAAAATTCTGAGTTCTTTGGAATTTATTTGCCATGTAGACTGGTCCACCTTTCACTTAAAGAAACATTTTTCAGACTACAGTGGTACCTTGGTATTCAACTCTTTGAAACTCATCAAATTTGGTACTCAGTGCATTTTGACATGACACTTTTGTCCCAGTACTTGTTTGTTTGGTACTCAACGCACAAGGTTGAACTTGTTGGTGAGAACTTGTAATTCACTATATTGTTCTTTATGGGGAAAAATTCTTTGGCACTCACTGTTTTTAGTACTCATTGCACCTCCCCAAACCAATTAATGATGAGAACCAAATAATACCACTGTATTGCAATCTTTATTTATATCAAGACAGATATTGTCACTGTGCTTCCTGGTTAATCTTTATGACGCAACTAAGCTAAATCAACTGAACCTCACAATGGCTAATCTAACATAGTTCTTAGGATCTCTGAAATAACTCCTTCTTCCAGAGTTTTCAAATAGTGTCAATACAGGATTAATTTCCACAATCTAAACCAGGGATGTCAAACTCAAGGCCCGTGGGATCTGGCCCACGGGGTGCCTAGATCTGGCCCACAGGGCCATCGTGGAAACAGCAAAAGACCAGCTCCTGGAGCCTGTGCCAGAAAAAAAAATGGAGGTCAGGAGGGACCTGTGCAGTCCTCCCGAGCTCCGTTTTCACTGGCAGAGGGTTGCAGGGAGCTGTCATAGCTGAAAATGGAGCTTGCAATGGCCACATGCGACCCTCCCAAGCTCCGTTTTTGCTGACTGAGGGTTGCAGGAGGCTGTTGCAGCTGAAAACAGAGCTCGGGAGCCCGTTTTTGCTGGCAGAGCGCTCAAGCCACGACAGGCATGCCCAACATGAGTGACATAGAGCTGGCCATGCCCTCTCTAGCCACACCTACCCCAGTCCCCCCCCCCCCGCCAAGGTCAAACACAACCGTGATGCAGCCCTCAATGAAATTAAGCTTGATACCCCTGATCTAAACTCTACTTCTCAAAATGATATCTTGCTCAATTAAAAGTTTCTCTGTCTTGTTCCAGGATTGATGAGAACTTGCCGTATAATGTAATATCCAGACTACACCATTGAACTATTCCTACGAGGTCTGAACCTTCCTCAGATCCACTAAAAGGATGGTTATCTCTTTCCAGAATAACTTTTCTATGCATTTCCATTGGATTTACCAGCACTTCGGCGTCACCTGACAAAAATAATCTTTTGAGTTAATGAATGGAATCTCAAGATGGTCTTTTTAAGGGAAGAAGTAAATTGAGATGTGACAGAAGACATCCAGGAGGCTGGGACATATTGGAAGGAGATAGACCATTTTTAGTCATCTATGGGCCCATTATTAGAAGCACTGTGGTTGTTCCTACCAGTGATGGAAATGCATTGGCTTCAGAGCTCATTAATTCATAAGGACCAATTACTTCCTGCAAGTTCTGTAACGGGCATCTGAATCTACACTGAAGAATATTACGGTGGACTAAGGCACCTGGATTAAATATATGATGTGAAGCTCAAATATGTCGTCCAGCTGATCCACAACTGACTAATATTAGTTTTGTGAGAATTCTCTCTTCCTGATCATGGATACCAGGCGAGAGAGAGAGAAAGAAGATGAATGAGCACTTGTGTGGAGATTGCATCAATCTAACAGAAAAAAAAAAAACCTCTCATCACACCAAATTGCAGCTGTTAGTATTATATTTTATGGAGAATTATGAGTAAAGCGAGCCTTAGAAAACCTTGAATGGAGATACCCCTTTGCAGCATTCCCACACACTCACCTTAGTGTTTTTGAATCTGGCAAACTATCACGTTGTTGTGTAAAATGATAATTTTGCAAATGATGTTTCTGAAGGAAGTAAAACCCCTCTGGGAAGGGCCTCTAAGCACAGAGGAGCCACAGTCCTGAAGCCATCCCTGTGTCATGATTTAGAATAGCTAAAATGTAAGTGTTGAGCTCTTCTAAGGCAAGTTCACCAAGCAGTGGATATATATATAGAGAGATGTATCTTTCATTTATACCTCTATAAAAACAGATCGTACATTTGGCTAGGCCCTGTTTTATGGCAGCGCAAGAGCAAGTTTCCCCATAATTAAATGAATAAATTATTTATTTATCTATAATGATGATAACATCCTCAGATTACCTTTCAAGAGCAGCTTGCCAAGACTGTCAAAGCGTAATGACAAAATGGACAATCTAAACGCCATGAAACCAAGAAAGCTCCGTGGTATAGTTATCAGGATAAGAACGGCATCTAAAGATCTCAAGGCCAGTGGCCAGTGTGATAATGAAAAGTAAAGTTGGTGGTTCTTTGGCCCACAGCAAGATTTATGCTTAAATCCGGCTGGACCATCTTTTGCACTGTAGCAAAATAAATAACTGGTACAATGTTCAATCCATTATTTAAGACGCAAGACCGTAAGGTAAGCTTGTGTACACTGTGTATAAAAACTATGAATTTAGCTGAAGGCAACCTTGTCAGCGTAATGAGCGTAACCATGATTTGATTCCCTGGATTCCTGGGAATGAGTCAGGAATGCAATGAAACTTCTTTCTTCTCTGTTTCATTCCAACCTTCTCTCTTCACTTTCTCAAAAACATCATGTTTTCCAAGGCAGGGCTCACCACAGAGCACTCACCACTCCCTTCAGGGCGCAGCCGCATTAGCCTTTCTGCCTTAAATGTGTGCCTATTTGGGGGTATTTTCTGCTTTCTTGCTCCCTACACTTGAGCAACCAGAAAATCTGATAAGCACCCACTACTTATGCAAATGGAGCTGCGCATCCTTGCGCATGCGCCTACCACTCACACAGAACTATCTCCCTTCCCCTACTACCAAGCCACCAAGCTGGAAAGTTCCAATCTTACATGGCCATGATGGCGAACCTATGTCACGTGGGCCACAGGTGGCACGCAGAGCCATTTGTGTGGGCACATGAGCCCCAGCCAAATTTACCTGCAGTGCACATGTGAGTGCCTCCCAGATGTTTTTCAGCCCATTTGAGGCCTTTTTCGATCTCCCAGGGGCCCAAGGGAAGTCTCTGCAGCCTCGGGGAAGCCAAAAAATGGGCCTTCTGGAAATACCAGAAGTGACGAAACCAGAAGTGATGAAACGGTCCTGTTTTTCGGCCTCCAAAGGCTGCAGAGGCTTCCCTCGAGCCTCTGGGAGGCCAAAAAAGGTCTCAAACGGGCTGAAAATCAGCTGGGTGGTGTGGGCATGTGCAGTGCAGATAAGGGAGCAGGGGGTGTTGCATATGCCTGCGCATGGGGGACGGGGCGCATTGCATTGTAGTACCAGCGCACACACGCTTTCGGCACACCACAACAAAAAGGTTCACCATCACTTATACAGCAAAAAAGCAAGATAAAAATGTACAAATAAACAACTTAAGGGTTAAATAAAGCCCGGATCCTGCATAGGTTGGGTATTCTCCTCCCTCCCTCCTTCTTTATTTCTTTTTCTTTCTGTCCCTTCCTTCCATCCCCCCTCTTTGTCTGTCCCTTTTTCTTTCTTTCCCTTTTCTCTTTCTTTTCTTCCTTCTTTCTTTCTCTCTTTTCTCTCCCTCTCTTTCCCTCTCTCAGGCTCACCCCATTGACTTAGTGCACCGCTCCACTCGGACTTGCTTGGGCAGGTCGATCCAGTGCAGCGGGCTCAATGGGGTGGACCTGTGGGGCCCGCACCTAGAACGCAGCAGTGGCGGCACGTTTGAAAAGTAGAGCAAAGCCAGAGGTCAGTAATTTTTGCTGCAAAGAATCACAAAAGCTTCTGGGCTGTGCACAAGAAGGGACACATGTCCATGCAATTCAGCAACATAAAATAAAGAAATACGAATAAATCAACAAACAAGAATCAGCAAAGCATCTCTGATTAGATTCTGTTCACTACTAGAATCTAATCAGAGATGTTTTGCCGATTCTAGTCCAATGACCTGCTCCAGCAGGATTAGAAGGGAGTGCGTGTATATGTGTGTGCATGGCTGTCAAAACTCCAAAAATAGCTCAAGTAGCCATGGGATCATAAATTAGAACACTTGCTAAACAACCGGCCATTAAGTGAGGACCACTTTTATTTGGTTTTCCAGTCACCTGGCCACACCCATCCAGTCACATGACCACCAAACACTTACCCAGTCATGTGGCCAGCAAGCCACACCCAGGCAGCAAGCCACGGCCACCCAGTCACGTGACCAGCAAGCCACACCCTCAAATTAGGCCATGCCCACAGAAATATGAATCCCACCCCTGGGTGGGGGGCACCAAGGATGAGTTTGTGGCACCAAGGGGGTGATGGACTGAAAAAGTTTAGGGACCACTGCGTTAGATCATGTTTGCTCTTCAAGACAATAATCCACAGCTGCTTTAAAAATGAATAGTTTTTAATTTCAAAAGAACAGTGCAGAAACAAAACTACAGAATTACATTCCTTAGCCATATTGTACAAACCCAGACACCAATGGATACAGTCTGATAGTATGTACGTATATGTGTGTACTCACGCACACGTGCACACATATAAATACATATTTATATATCACTGAAAAGCCACAGCATAGTAGTAGTAATACAACACGGTTAATGACTGGTGCTGCTAGGCTGGCAGTGCAGTCCATCCAGAGAGAGATAATTCAAACACTTAGCGCAAAGAATGTAAATCTTTAATTTCTACAGAACCGTCTCAAAGATTAACAGAAAACATGCTCAGAGTTACCTAAGTTAAGGGCACACTAAAAGCAAAAAAAAAAAAAAAAAAAGCCAAAGTGGGGAAAAAGCAACTGATGGTTCAGGAGGCTCTTAGTGTTGAATCAAAATCTGAAAAGAACAATTTCAATAAATATATTTGTGAGAAATACATAAAAGTACCTTGAATTATACAGTTATATACACTGAAAATCCCACTGCAGGAGAGAGAGAAGGCAGTTAGTTTAAGATTCGAGAAGCTTCTTGATTTAAAAGTTGGCGTGGAATCAAGTTTAGCAGAGCTTCAGGCAGGGTCTTTGTAAGTGTACGAAGGAGACGGGTCCATGTTTCTTAAGAAATATCTCATAAAAGACTTTGTGCTAAATCAGAGATCTCCAAGCTTGGCAACTTTACGACTTGTGGACCTGAAGTCCACAAGTCTTAAAATTGCCAAGATTGGAGAGCCAGCCCTGTGCTAAATGGTCTGAGTTGAAGAGAGCTATAGTTATTGAATATTTGACAGCATAAGACAGACTGCACAACTTCACCCCTTCTGAGAATGTGATTGCAATGGTGCTTCTGTTTGTGGTAACTTTTCTTTCCCCCTGTTAATCCCCTTTGTATCAGCCATAACCACGTGATTAGGGTTACGTTTAGTTTGACCTTTAGAAGAGCTGCTATCAAGCATTTATTTTAGAGAAAGGAAAACATGGCAGAATTCCTTCCAACCTTTGAGGATGTTGTCGGAGGAGAGCCATGTTAATCTATGGTAGCCAAACTCCTCCTGATTTCTAACCTTGAACTTCAAGGGCAGATCTAGGAAATTGACCTTGAGGGACACTATCCAATTCTGCCTCAGTTGGACTGGAGAAAGAAACCAACAAGGCTGAACAGTTTCAGTGGTCACTTCATGTAATACCAGACTACAGAACACTTAACTGTATTGGGGAAGGTGGATTTTCATAACAAAACAGGAGCTAAATGGCTTGTTTGGACACGATGTAAGTCTTGGTAGAGAAGACTTTTGTTAAGAGGCTGCTGGGCAAGTACAGAAACGTATTTTCAGTGACAGGACAACCTTCTCTTAAATATATATTGATTTATCCCATGGACAGTAATTATTAGGGACATCGTGTGCATTTCATCGGACAAGTTTTGCTCTGAGGAGCAAACTTTAATGAAGCAAACAGAGATCCTTACATAGAAATCAAGCTGTGCGCAGTATGAGCTGCAGTAATGTAATGCCAATGGTTGTCGATAAAGACAGGCAAAAATGATTACATGGAACTAACAGTTATCTCGATTTTTTCACCTCAACAATTATATATGGTTTATGAAAATAATTGTTGACTTAGTGTGCTTTGTGGATGGTCAAAGGCACAACAGAAGCACTTGAGAACTTGGCTCATTACATTTGAATACTTTTGGACTACAGGGTATAAGCAGTGAACAGCTATGGGTATATTAATCATACATACATCCAATATTTTGATTCAAATATTCATGAAACCAAGTCAGAAGAGGGAATTTCATACCATGTCTCGAAAGGAGTCAAAAGGAAGACTGGAAAAAGTAGCATAACGTGTTGTCATTACAATTATTCCTCAATATTCAATTATATGTAGGATTACTTTGGTGAGGC